CACACACACACACAATCTCCAGAGAAGGAATCGACGCGATGCGCATAACTGATTCAGGACAGGAGCGGAATCGCTCATTAAAAAATGCTCACTGAGCAGCCATTACTGGAATGAAGCTGTGACCGAAGCGAAGAGGCGATCAGAACTCGCACTGCTTCAAACGCAGCAGTGCCACTGCTGACCGAACGAAGCAAGGAAGCAGCCTGCATGAGAACGGGGATTTCGATGCAGCATCGCAGAACGAATGACCAGCGCAGCGGCGCACTCTCATCCTCGCGAAAGCCGGCCACAGAAGCCGGCTCGCACTTGCGCATCAGCGCCCAAACCCGAGCAAGCAGCAAGATCGAGTGGTGCCGTCCCAGACCGGATCCACCCTACCCCAGACCAGGGCACAGAAGAGCTGCACCGAACCGGCCCGATTTACTGCTGCACCGAGCAGCAGTAATGCTAATAATCGCTGGAAGCTAGCTTAAGCACGGGGCTCGCCCGAACTAACCACTATGCCTACTACTTCTAGCACTGCAGCCAGCAGCACTCACCTCCTTGCCCAGGACATTTCCCCTCCTCCCTCTCTCTCTCTCTCCCTCTCTCCCTCTCTCTGGAATGTCCACACCCTCTGCCCTCCCGCTTCTCCTTTTCAAGTTTTACCAAAAAATGCCAAAAACTAATCCTCCTTAGGATGGGCTAACAACTGCGACTGTATCAAAGACCGTGACAGCCTTAAGAGCTCAGGGTAGGGAAGAACTCGCAACGAAGGCAGAACGAAGTGACTGCGATAGTGCTCAGATGCGGAAGCTCAGCATTCTGAGATAATGCAAACTTCAGATCGGAAATCGTCACACTGTGTCTCCAGCTCTTATGTTTCAGAATTGAATATTCACGAAGGCATGCACTACTGTCGCGAACCTCCTCCCCGCTTCTTCCCTCTTGCTTTTCCGATGCTGAGATGCAGTCCAGCAACACGCGGCAATTGTTGGCAGTTACCAAAACTCGGCTCGGCCAGCGCCCATACACGAATCATGAAAATTTTTTCTTGGTGATGATGGGTGAGATTGCCCCACGGTGAGCGACGGGAGTTTGAATGCACCGGTTGGAAAGGGAAATAGTGTGCTGCGGTTTTTGTTCAAGGCAAGGGAGAAGGGCTAGAAGAGGTGGCTATGTAGCGTAAATGCTCTGTCGGTTGATTGGTCACGGACATTTAGAGGGAAGAGGAGGAGGAGTGGTGGGTGAAAAGGAGGAAATTGTGCTTTTGTTTTTTGTCACGGATTCCCGAAGAAAAGGGAGGGGCTGAATTGCATGCTTCCCGAGTGCACTTAATACTGGGGATGGGCAGATGCTCAGATGCTGCTTTGCAGACACGATTTGGGAATAGAGTAGATAAGAGGAACGAGGATATAGGTCAGGAGCTCGAGGCAAGAGCTACAAATAGCAGTAACGGGAAAGAGACAACACAATATTGCAAAAATAATAAATTAAAGCAAACTGCACCTATGAATAAAAGCAAAAAAAAACATGCAAAAAACTGAGCGTGTGTGAGCAGAAACTGTTCTAAAAAAAACCGGTTTTCAATAGGAGACTTTCCTATTTATTCCAGCTTACGTGAAGCAAATAAGTTCGGTTAGAATTATATAACAATTCCATACAATAATTGCAATGATTTGGCTTCAGCAACATGCAACTATGCACAATACTCACAACTTCAGTTTTTTTACCTCCAAAATTTCACAGAAGCAGAGGCTGACTTCATCCCCATAGATCCAGCCCACCCCTCCTCCTTTTTGCTCAGCTCATATCCTACAATCAAGCTTGTTCGCTCTCAGCTTCACCTAAGTATCAGCTTCATAAATAGGGAGGTCAGCTACAGACGACGGCCTTTTATAAGACAATTTCCATTCGCATAAGCTCAGTTTTTTCTTTGCTTTTACCTTTTTTATGCGTTTTTTGCAGCTGTGCAATGCAAAAACGCATATTGTCGAGGGGTTTTCTGTGTGTGTGTGTGTGTGTGTCTGTGTGTGTGTGTGTGTCTGTGTCTGTGTATTTATGTGTGTGTGTGTCTGTGTGTGCGTCCGTAACGAGTTTTCATCTTGAGATCCACAAAAGCTACAAGGCTGAAACTGTGGTAATTCGATCTACAAGTATGCGCGGGCTCCTATCCTCAAAATGGACGCTCAGGCCCGCGTGATTTTCATGTATGGGCAAGTGAAAGTCTTTTTTGGCGGGGAAGTGTTTTCGGGGATGGCGCAAGCTAGGAGACTAAAACTTCACAGAAATGTTCCTTGGTCACGTCTAATCCAAAGATTTCAAATTCAGCCTTCATGCACTCCTAAGTCTCACGTACGTACACGTCAAAGTTTAAACTGGCATCACGTCAATCCCAGATTTAAAATGACCAATAAGCCGCAGAGAGTTGCACTTTTGCAGCTTTGCTTATCGCCTACTTTTGTGCCTGTGAAAGTAAATTACTTGTCAGCTCTTCTGCATCTCACGTACGAACACATAAAAATTTCACGCATGCGCTTCTTTTGTAATTTCAGAATTGAACCGGTCGGTGGATCTGAATTTTCAGAGCACAACCTTCGGTGGCTTTCAATCAGATACACGCAAAAACGACTTACACATCACTTTCACGTCTCAAGTACGTTTCACGTGTGCACACGTGAAATTTGAAGTAACTCCGCAACCAGAGCAGCTGGAGTGCTGAAACTTTCTGAGGGCTACGCAGGACCGTGTTTGAGCAAAAGCATGCGAAGACAACATTCATGCTGCTGCTCACGTACGAACACGTGAAATCTGACGTAATTCTGCAGCCGAAGGAGCTACAGTGCTGAAACTTTTTGAGCGTTACTCAGGATCGTGTTTGAGCAGCCGCGTATGTTGCCACCCACGTACGAACACGTTAAATTTGAGGTGACTCTGCAATTAAAGCAGCTGGAGTATTGAAAGTTTCTGAGCGCTGCACAGGACCGCGTTTGAGCAACCGCAGGCAAAGAAGTCATTCACGTCGCCACTCACGTACGGACACGTGGAATCTGACGTAACTCCGCAACCGAAGCACCTAGAGTGCTGAATTTTTTGGGCATGGATTGGCAGTCATTATAATAATTTCTAACAGTTGTGGTGACCAGTCCCAATTCTTTTAGCTAGAAGTATCTGCAAGGAAGAACGTGCCACTGGCGAAAAAAACCTGCGGGGGAGCTTGCGAAAAACGTATCATCGTACCGGCAGCCGGCACGCTTTCGACTAGGTTTGATTATATTCTTAGGCTCAGGTTTGCTTTAATTTACTTTTCTTTTTTGTGCTGTATTGCCTTTTTCCTTTTATTGCCGTCTTCAACACTAGCATCGAGCTCCTGATTTGTATCCTCGTTCCCCCTCTTTACCCTTTCTTCAAATCTTTTGCTGTCTGCAAAGCAACGCCTTTTTTTCTCGCAAATTTTCGTCTTCCTAACTTCTCCCGCTGCTGCGCTGAAACTGGGTGACGAGCACAGAAATATCCACCGACAACTTCTCGTCAGTATGCTTTTTTTGCTTTCATCAAAAAAGCAAAAACACATCAAAACATTAAGAAATAGAATTAATCCCGTATCACCAGTTTAACCGAACTGTACGATGTTAGCAGAAAGACTAACGGGCACAATGAGATGATCTCGCATTTTATTAACAATGAGATTTTAATAAGTATTTTAGATGTTGGAAATGAGATTATCGTTCAAAAGAAATTGTAAATTCTTGTATACGCAAGATTTACGGCAAGAGTGCGCAAGTCAAATGTATAGCAACAACAATACATACAGTTACACAGTTAACGACCTGGATGCCTCAAAATTAGCGCCAAAGCGCATGGTCGTACTTGCAATCCTGGAGCGTTTGCTAGCTGCGTTTAATTTGATGATTCAAGAATGCAGTCGCGTTTGGCAACAGTCCCACCTCACCACATTCGACTGCACTATGTGCACACATGGTCAATGCACCAACTCAAACCACGATTCACCACACAAGTAAGTGCCATAAATCAAAAAGTTTTTGCTAATCAAAAACCTGCTCAACTTTGGTACCTCTCACTTCAGTAGTGGTATTTTTGAATAAATATCATGCAAAAAAGAATCTCCCATTGCAAATACGCTCGTTACATACAAAAAAATATGCTCTATCATAATCACGTATGAACCTGTGTTTGGGATTTCCAATGCCACACCAAGCCTTCAAGAATATAATGAAATTAAAAAGCCTTATCATTGTACTTGTGTCACTTGAGCATGCACATAAATTATGATAACACGGGGCTTCTTGGCCTGCGCAGCACTTTCAATAAGAGCTTGACTGGTCACACTTAACAAGACGTCACGGAAAATGTTAAGGGAAAATAGGATGCAATTCTCCGGATGTCTCTTTGTATATGCGTTGCTGTTCCTCCCGCTTCCCCGCTTCTCCCCGCCGTTCCGTGCCCTATCATCTCCCTCCAGCCGTCAGTAAACAGTAAAAACCATTTTTTCATCTCCCTTCTGAGCTATACATTCTCCAGCAACGAAAATTTTTGTCAAAAATCCCGTACTGCAATTTAAAAAGTAACAAC